CATGTCCTCCTGAATGATTTGGTTTACTGGTTTTCGGTGACCTTGACTTCGCGCATTACTATCAAGGATTTATGAAAGAAGAGGCTGTATCTGTATGGCATTGCTTCTCTTTCTACGGAGCATCTTAATAACTTACTTTGATGACTCATTGCAGAATGCAACTGACAATGACGGAATGGTTACTGAATACTATCTGCCATGCGCTCCATGCATGATTGTTACTGAATATCTGCCAGACCGCCCTCATTCACAATTTGGAGATGGGTACTATTTCTCAGCGATGATGTGTATACATCACTGTGTTGAAGTGCTCCTAGATTGTTGGCCACCCCACATCGATCTGCCAACAATAAATCTTCCAAACAGGAAAGTCTCAGTTGGTAGAGCCGAATACTGGACGAGGAACTGAGCATTGCCAGTAAACAGTGCCTAAACTGTCTTGGGTTTGAATTTTTGTCTGAAAGGTAGCTGGTTCCCGTTTCAATGATCGACGATCATGAGGACTCTCCAGGACCCAGAAAGCACGAGTGAAACAACCATTACAGGGAACGAAAGCATCCTAGGAGATGAATTATGCACAGCAATGCATGTTGATATGCCGGCGCCATGTTCGCTTGAACTTATCAGTACAGTGTTTTTCTCTCATAACAAAACAACATCAGCCGGCTTCTCAACTTTCGTGCATGTGTCAGATATTTATGCAGGAAAAAAAAGAGAAGCAGATAGCTGACGCACCGACAAAATGGCAGTCGGCACCTAACCGATGAATCTCTCTGCATTTCATCCGGGGATTATCACCCGACACCTGGTAAAAAATTTCAGCAGACTTGTTTGATCCAGATAAGTTATCTTTAGCTAATGCGCGGCACCCAAATCCTCTCGGTTGCCTTCTTTTCTAGCTGATCCTCTTTTGATCCTGCGGTTTCTCATCTTTTTCCGATTGTTTGGTTATTAACGCCTTTCCTTGGTGGATCACTGGAATCCTGCCTACCTTATCCCTCAAGAGGTGGCAAGACAATGTGCTAAAGCAAAGTTTATTTCAGTATATTCAGAACCTACCCAATCCCAATGGGTTAGCTTCACTTGCAAGTTGTGTTGTGTGAGACCTGCCTGCGATTGCAACCGACCGATGCCGATCCAATTATTCTCAGGATAGAAAAGAAAAATCCATTATTCGATCATTTAGTCGTCGAAAAAATCCTTTACAATCTCCTCTAGCCTTTTCTTCGAAAGGAAGGAAGATTTTGTCCATTTTATTTATTCTGCTATAAGATTGATTACCCACCAGTAAAATTCTGAGAAGCCCACCTATGACAAACTTTCCCTCCGAAAAGTCCACAAAGCAAAGATTCCCGTAGGTGGGCAAGGACAGCTCATGGTGAAACCATCAGAGCAGAGCCCAAAGAGGCCATCCATCCATCCATCAATCCATCAGGGAATAACAGTTGCAGTTCAGAAACACACACAGCTCCCTTCCCAATCATTTGCTCTATGCGTTCCTTTTTACCGTCAGAAACGAGTCTTGTCTGACAGTACAATCTTGGAACCAGGAAGGATTACCGGTGCATGAAACTGAAACATGGTACCGTTTATCGGTAACATAACATTTAATTTAACAAGAACAAAAGGCAGTAAACAGGCTCCCGTACCATATAATCAGGTAATAATGCAGCAATTATGTGGTTGCTCACCCTGGGGGCCGCCAATCATGTTACTTCACTGACAGACGCATAGGAGGAGTTGTTCCTCTTCCTGATGTGGGTTAACTTGGCATCTTTCCGGAGCCCTTTTCCGGATTCTCTCGGCTCCACAAGACACTCTCTCTCAATCCCCTTTTCCCTCCCCGATGCCTTTAAACAATCCGGTGATGGACTTTGATGAGCTCTTTAGAAAGGAATTATTGATGCGCTCGATCACTCACCTTTGCCAAATGGCCTGTGACTTGTTGTGGCAGCCAGCCGGTGAGTGAGTGAGTGAGTGCTGGTGTGCCTCTCATCAGTTCCTTCTTGCTTGCCATCCTTGCCGGGCGGGCATCATTCAGGAATCTGCTTTTTCCTGCCCTGGAATATGTTAAAGGCGAGAGAGCACGAAAACACGCGAAAAAGAGGCCGTTTTTACGCGAGCGAGCGCATCATCGGATCAGATTGATTAAAGCAAAGCAAAGCTAAGCTTTCTTGATTCCTTCCCAGAATGTTGCTCAAGCTTTAGGCAGAGGCAGAGGGCCCTTCCTTTCACGCTGAAAAATTGGATGGAGCTCAGGCAGCAGCATGAACATTGAACAGGAACAAACAAGGGAAGGCTGGTGTAAAATTAAATTCGGCGTATATCGCGGCTCCAGCGAGGATATTCGGCCTGAAATTCAGACAAGCACAAGGGGAGCAGAATAGGAAGAATAATAAGATGCTGAAATGACGGTATGAGTACGTCTTAGCTACCCACGTCCCATGCAGGTCACTGTTATCGCAAATGAAGCAATCATGAGATGCCTGAAGGTAATGGCAAATGTGCATTAGTGGACGGATCCTGTCTAGAAGCCGAGAGGAGCCCGCTCGCTGACAGCAACTTGCAAGCCCAACAGCAACAAGGGGGCTCCGAGAGTGGAACCGCGAAAACGACCGCTTCTAACCCACTTGGCCTTCTTGTAACTCGCTCTGCATTCGTTCGCAGAAACTGGAAAAAAAAAGGCGTGTCATGACCGACATGTCCCTGGTCAGATCATTGAGTCAACCGGCACAAGAAGAAGCTGATTGTTTACGGGAGAATTAAACAGAATGCTACTGCAGGCAAGATAATGCATTTGCATTCAGTTTCCTGTAATTTCCTCAGCTGCAGGCTGCAGACAGAGAGCATGGGCAGGCAGATATTTGGCAGTCAGTGACCACCACCAACACCGATCGCAATGGGTGGGAACAGCAGCAAGGGAATATGAAAACGTCGTCAAGCACTGTGAGGTCTGAAAGGCCATTGTTTTTGTTTCCAGGCGCAGCAAAGCAAGCAAAGGGGCTGAAACTGAAGTGCCTCACAACGCCCCAGGGCAGGGCAGGGCATGCCGCCAACCCACAAGTACAGCGTGAATATGCGCTGCTACTCTGACCCGTTCCTTGGAACAGACATGGTTTTCCCTGATTTTGATGCCTGACCCTGCAGATTTCATGATTCATGAATTGTATGTGACACAGCAGAGCTGAGCTCTGGCTCCTGTAAATACTAAAACTGTAAAAGTCGACCAGTCTTTTCACTGGACCTTCGCTTATCATTGGACGTTACGTGGTCCATGGAAGATGGATAGATGCCCGTCCATCGACCATCGTTCCCGTAGCTCGCAGAAAGAAAGATACTACCGGTTGAGACTGTAACAAAACCCTGTAGAACGTGCTGTATTTCCCTTCTGCGTGAAACAACTCTGCTCTCCTCTTCTTGTATGCTCTGGGACTGGGACTTAGAGGAAGAAACGAGAGGTGAAAACGTGAATTGGTAGGAGATGGGAGGAGAATATGAATGAATATGCGTGTGGCCATGTCCATGATTTGTGTGGTCGTGGGGTGGTGGCGCTGTCACTGCACTGGTGACTACTGGTCTCGGCGTCCGTCCCAGCATGCACAAGCATGCCATGCCGCTGCCGCCTTTGAACAGAAGCTTCCTTTTGATCCATTGCGATAGCTAAGCTTGCTTGCGTGCGCCGAGATCTGGATTAGATTCCTTGATTCCCCTGTCACCACCACAGGCCAAGGAGGGGGCAGTTTGCCACTTGCATCCATCGCCCCCAGCAGCAGCCTGTGTGTGCCCGTTGTGCGCCACTCTGAAAGCCACACCTATTCGCTGGTTGGTTTCTGGGCTGATAAGTCCGGCTGGTACTGGTTTATTGTGAGATGAAAACAATGTTGGTTGGCTGATAAGCCCTGGCTGAAACCAACGAGCGAACGAGCTTGGTTTGCCCTCCTCTCCTCTGACATTTACCTGTCCTGTCCATATGCAATTCCTGACGGGTCGAGCACGCCCGGCCGGGTCGGGCCATCTTTTGGTTTGGGCACCAATTTTCACAGCCGGCCGGCAGCGGCAGGCAGTGAGATTGAGATCAAAGCAAAGATAGATAGCGCATCTTTGATGCATATGCACCGTGTATCTCTATCTTATCTTCACTTGAAAGCAAGTTTTCGTGTGCCGGGAAAGCCATTTTGGCGCTGCAGAGAGGCAGCATTTGCTCGCTCGTGAGACGGTGGTGCTCCGAGCGAGGAGAGAATCCAGTCAGTCCAAGGAGCAAGCAGGCGAGAAGGGTGAGAAAACAGCAAGAGAACAACAGCAATGCATGCCCGCACGAGAAATCAATGCAATGTCGTCCCTTTGCTTCTCTCTCTCGTCTCTCCTTTTTCAATCAACTTTTTTAATTTCAAAAGAAGAAAATGTTTTTTTTCTCTCCCAGAAAAATTCTATCCTTTTGAGAGGGTTGTAGTTGAACTGTTTCGCTTTTGCCCCACCTACTGCTGAAAGATTCTCCTTCTTTGAGGTCAAAGAAGTGAAAGCAAAAGCAGCAAACAATTGAGGTGGTGACATGGAGGAGGAGGAAGCCAAGAGGGGATGCAAAAGAAGATGCTGCCATGCCATGCCATGGCCTGTTGGCCCCCAGCTGCCTCACGCGCCATATTCCCTTCCCTTGCCGCCGATTCGATTCGACCCCGGGCGTATCCATACATACATATACCGCCGGAGGTGGAGACGGGGACGGAATATCTCTGAGCGGTGGAGTCCCAGGAAAGCAACCGACCGACCCACCGCCTATAAGAGCCCCCGCGCTGCTCGCAGTGGCATCCTCCATCACCCTGCTGCTGCTGTCGCTGCTTGTCCAGGAGCTTGCTGTGTCGCCGCGGTAGAAGCAGCCGCCGCTGTCGTCGACCGTCGTCTCGTCTGCGACTACTCCGGCCGCTGCTGCGGCTTCTCATGCTGGCCACGCCACCGACGCTGCTGCTTTTGCGATACGAAGCGCCGCGGCGGGCACGTTGGAAATGTCGTCGCTGGGTGGTCAGCAGCAGCAGCACGGGCACGGCGAGGCCAGGGCGCGGCTCAGGTGGACGCGCCAGCTGCACGACCGCTTCGTGCTCGCCGTGGCCCAGCTCGGCGGCGCAGACAGTAAGTGCTCTCTTCACCCTCTGCTCGCAGCCAATCCTTTCTTTGACCGCTGCTACCACCGACGTCGGCTTCCTTTGCCATTGCAGAGGCGACACCCAAGTCCGTGCTGAGGGAGATGGCCGTGCCGGGGCTCACGCTGCACCACCTCAAGAGCCACCTCCAGGTACGGCTACCGTCGGCGAATTATTTATCGGAGTCGCAGCGACAGTAAGCCGATCGTCCGCTGAACTCTGCCTCCTGATCATGCGGTCCACACTGCTGCTGCTGCAGAAGTACAGGCTGGCGGTGAGCCGAGGCCTCGCCTCCCCGCTCGGCGACAACGGAGATGGCACCAACGAGCGGTCGTCCTCCTCGGAGAGCCAGCCGGACGAGTACGACGACGATACCGTCGCCGAGCTGCATGGTGCTTCTTCCAGGAGCATGGCGCGGATGCAGAGGGAGGTGCAGAGGAAGCTGCAGGAGCAGATCGAGGTAAAAGATGACCTCGATCACCATTCGCAGCTTGTTTCAGCTGATTACCAGTTCGTTCATGGTTGGTTGCTGATCAAGCTGAGCTCGGTTCATCATGACCTGACCTCATTCGTGCATGGCAGGTGCAGCGGCACCTACAGCTGAGGATCGAGGCGCAGGGGAGGTACCTGCAGTCCGTGCTGCGCCGGGCGCAGGAGATCCTCGCCAACGACCACAGCCTGGGCTCGCCGGCCGGCGCGGAGGCCGCCAAGGCAGAGCTCTCGGAGCTGGCCTCCACGGTGGAGACGGCCGGATGCCTGTCCTCCTCCTGCTCCTGTTGCTGCTGCTCCCCCTCGCCGTCCCCGACGCGCCACCTCTCCTCCGACAGCTGCGTCACGTCCTCCTCCTCGGAGGCCGCCGGCGCCAAGTGGCTCCAGCTCCACACGTGCGCTGGTACGCGCGACTGCTCCGACGTCGAGCAGCCGGTGCTGCAGGGCGAGAGTACATTCCTGCAGAGCCTCGCAGCAGAGGACGAGGACGGCACTTCATCAGAGATTGATCTCAACAGGTAGGGGGACGAAGATGGTGATCAGAAGCATCTCTGCTGCATGTGCCCAGCATCGGAGAACAGAACAGGGGATGATTGGCGGGGCGGCCTTCAAGGTTGGGAGGGGCCAGGCTTTTGAGCGAGCAACGTCTGCTGTTGAAACAGCTGGCTGCACTGCAAGTCTGCAGCAGACACACTGCTCTTCATTCCATAATATGATATACATATATATTTTCATTTATGCAAATGGTTCTTGTGTTTCATGTACCCCCTGTAAAAAATGTATGCCTGGAACTAGAGGCAGGCCCAGCTGGCAGCTGCAGATGATGTGCATGCACTATGCTTGAGGTGCAATGCAAGAATGTGTATGCATAGTAAAGAACTGTAGTAGCTACTATTAGTGAGATTTATATGCCATCGGTGAGATTGATGCCTTAAGAGGGCAATGGCATGAGAGCTGGAAAAGGTTTAGAATGTAACTTAAGATTAAAATTCCAAACTTGGTATGGGTACTGAACAGAAAGTTCTGTTACAGCACTTTGAGGATGAATCAAGCTATCACACCGGTACAACTAATAAAGCAGCAAAAGGAAAGAAAAAAAGGCATCAGTGTAGTTTTTCTTACAGTAAAAAAAAGGGTGTGGAAATTGTCATGATTTGCATACGCAATGAAGACTGAAAATTGAAATGCTACGCAAGGAATATTTATGTTGAAAAAATTGCAATTGGGAGATTCAATGATATTTCCTTTACCTAACAACAGAGAAAACCGACAAACCAGAGAATCTTGCACAGCTAGCAAGAGAAATGACTGGACCCTAATCCATGGCTTCTCTACAGCTGCACGATCCTAAAGTTTTTGGAGAATATTTCTGTCTTGTTGCAAGTTCACCTGCCCGTATTCTCTAGTTCAATAATCCTACAAGCTCGGACACTTGATTCCAGAACCTTTTATAGTATTCAATCAATGCCCATTGTTCATATTTGCGTGCCGCTGATGGAAAAAAGGAATAAGAATATGAACGGATCATATAGAGACAAGAGAGCTGGCCTAGGCTTGGATTCCCTGGCTAGTAGTAGTTGCTATGAATGGTTGTGCCTATCCTCAGTGACAAAAACCCATGACCACACTAAGGGAAGAAATGTGACTGGACAAAATACTCGCAGACCGCTAGCCTCCATATTGATCGGCTCGGCTTGTCTTGTTTCAAATTTTTCATGAGCTGAGAGTTTCAACTCATTTTATTGTCAAGTGTTACTAGGACTAAAGGAGTACAAGTTCCATGGGTAGTGTGACATAAATGGCAAGTCCTCAAGCACATATGGATATGGTATTAGAGACAGATGTCTTGAGTTTGAATCCTGGTAGCACAATTAAATAAAATAACTTGAGCAAAGTCCTATTTCAACATTTGAGGCCTAAGAGAAGTTACACGCGAGAGGGTATTAATGTATAAGTGAATTACCCATATGTCCTTATCAGATTAGTCTTTTTTGTTGAATTGGTTGGCATATGCAACTCAATTTGATATCAGAGACAGAAGTCCTTTGAATTCTAGCATACACGATTAAATAAAATAATTGCAGCTGACTTCTTTCCATATTTTAGACATGAGGAAACCGGTATTTAAGGGTGTTGAAATACAAGTGCATTGCCTACCTCTTCTCGTCGGTTTAAGTTTTGGGTTAAACTAATGGTTACATACAACTCATCAATACTTAAAAAGAAGAAGAGAGAAACACCTATCAACAGCCCCAAAAACTACAATAGTCACCCGTTAGATAGCCTTTTCAGACTTTTGATTTCAAGCAGGTATTTTCAGATGACTGGCCCGCCCGACCAGTGCCTACTCTATCAACGAATGGTCACTCAGTGACATGAACCTTTTGTTGGTTAATTACTCGCCATATTTTTCAGATGTATGCTGTTTGTTGGTAATAAGCTGATCCCAACATTCTTGATGTTCTGTCAGACAGGCACTAACGATCTGATATATATCCTCCATACTAGGTATCACTTCACCTGAATATATCTTGCAGGGTTACCTGTTTCAAGCTCTGAACTGGAAGTCTGGAACCTTTCATGGATGGCAATGTTAGACTCTTGGCCATTGACCACGTCTCCTAGTTTCTCCACTCCTTGACCATTCCTGTCTCCAAGAGGTCAGTGAGGGTAGCTTTACTATTGTGCAGGCCTGCAGGGACATGACATTGCCGGCTAATACCTCTAAGATAATCAGATTGAAGGACCTACAAGGTGGGCAATGAGCAATACTAGTCAGAGTTTTCCATTTGCCAGAGGAAATCGTGCGATATGTCGTGCCACAAAGGAAATCCACTGAACCAACATCAACATGACAATATTTAATGGCCCCATGAATGGAAAACAGTGTGGTGCCAATAATCAGACAAAGAAAAGAGTGCAGGATATCACAAAGTAAACGAATGAGACTCCATAACTGATTTATATATAGAACATATATTTACAGGAAAAGCATATCGGCCACTACTGGCAAAGGATCGCATAATAAATTGTCCAGCGTCAAATTAGCATATGCAGGATGATATCGATCGATCCGGTGAGTGTGAAGCGAGACCTCGCAGAAAGCGATATGGAGCGGAGTTGCTGACTGTTGGTGCGAGTTGCGACCGCATCGCGAGGAGAGGAGAGGAGACCGGCGCGCGATTGGGAGTCGGCGCTACCCAGAAATCACGCGCTGTGCTCGCCAGTGGAGACGTACACGTCGGGGCCGGCTCTTCCCCATGGTGCGCCGGCCTTGTTGTCGCCACGGCGGCCGCTCCGGCGTTCGTGCTCGACGACCCCTGCACCCGTCGCCATTGTCCGCGTTCCCGGTGCCGGCGACGGCGAAGCAGCAGTTGTTTAGCCTAGTTCACGGGCCCGTTGAAGGCCGGCACCGTTCGCTTCGCCCAAAAAACGAGCCTACTGTTCCGACTAAAGTTGAAAAGTACGGAATATAACCCAAACGGCCATATTTCAAGGAAATAATAAACTCTGGTTGCTCAAAAAAATAATAATAAACTCTAGTACTTGACACAATTATTCGATATCTGATTTCATGTAAATAACCGTACTCCCTCCAATCTAAACGCAAGGTAGGAGTAGTATTTAAGTTCTGTCCTAAGTTGATCTTCTCCCACTTTGGCAAAGCTAATAGAAAAACATATCAATGTTTGCAACATCAAATTAATCCCATTAAAATACTATAAAATACGTACTGATGGTGTGTTTATTTAGCATATAGATACAAATATATTTTCCCCCAAAATTTATTAAAACTAGAGAAGTTTAACTTAAGATAAAACTAAAAACATCTTTAGAGGGTGTGTTTGTGTGCATGAGGGTGGCTCGTGTGGATGGACTAGGCCAGGACTAGATTAGCCAGGCGGAGCAAGTGTAACGTGATTTGTTTGGTGGTTGTGTTCTTCCGAAGTCTAGGTCAGTGCATCCTGCATTTGATTGGCTATATGAGATGTGGGAAAATTCAGTTGTTTGCATCCTGCATTTGATTGGCTATATGAGATGTGGGAAAATTCAGTTGTTTCTTATTCACTCTTTTGATTCACGCACTTTCATTATGTCCTTGTTTAGTGCTTCTTTTCATTCCTTATGTGCTCTTGAGTGAATCCTAGGATCTGGTCATGATAGTGTGCTCTTAGATCATAGGTTACATTCTTCTTCGAAAGATTTTTTTTTTAAGAAAAAACATTTTTATGAGAGAGCGCATGTTTAAGGATATGTTTTTTTGGTGTAATGGTCCTAAGGGCTCCTTTTAGTATGTTTTTATCGAAGTTGTAGGGTTAGCTCTTGGTAGGGGTAAATATAATTTAATAGGCTAAGGTTTATCGCTGTAAATTTCTAGAGCTTCAGTTCACCTCATCTTCCGAGCAATCAGTTCTTAAACACTTAAGTGTGGCCATTATACCCCTAACTATTAGAGGAAATTATTTCCATGGCAAAAAAAAAGTGCTTCTTAGTTTCTTGGCCCTTTTTTCTCGAACTTGCTTATTTAGCCCTAAAACGAATTATTTTTGGTTTCTTGACCCTTCCGTTAGTTTGATGGTCTAACGGTGTTAAGTTGTACGTGAAATGACCCTATTACCCCTGGCGCCGAAGGCTATAATTCACAGGTCTTTCAGGTTGCCTCTATCAATAATTTCCCAAAATAAGGTACACTATTTTTTCAAGCATGGAATCATTATTTTTTTTATCTTTTCCAATAATTGTTTTTTCAAGCCAAGAGTAAAAGAGTCATTTCGCGTACAACTTAACACCGTTAGCCCATCAAACTAACGGAAGGGCCAAGAAATCAAAGAAATTTTGTTTTAGGGCCAAATAAGCAAGTTCAAGAAAAAAAGGCCAAGAAACTAAACGACACCTTTTTTAGGGGCAAAGAAATAATTTCCTCTAACTATTATACCACAACCCTTAATAGTTATATAAAAAATTATTACTTTTGCATACGTAGTCGAATGAAGATAAACTTTAAGTCAAAATTGTAGAGACAACCGGCATGTTCGCTGGTTGGTTTCTAGGCTGATAAGCTCGGCTGGTGCTGGTTTGCTATGAGAGGAGAACACTGTTGGCTGACTGATAAGCCCTGGCTGAAACTAACAAGCGAACGGGCTAAACTGCTGAGGGTTATGACATAATAGTTAGGGGCATAATAGTCATTTTAATAGCCATAGTATCTTTTTTTTTTAAAACAGTCGTAGTATCTAAGACCTAATTGCTACAATTGAATATTAGTATTTATCAGCAAATAACAGCATTAACGAATGTCCTAGGGGAAAATTTTCAACCGTGTCTCGAAAGGGCTTCGCTCTCCACCCCAGGTCCAATACTCGACAGTACTATGCATATTTTATAAGTTAGAAGGTAATAAGTGTGTCCCAGTGAACTAATAGCAATTGTAAATCGAGATTCAAGTATGACGAAAATTTTCTAATATCTAGTAAGTGTAACAACCCAAAAATCCACACACCAAAAATCACAGCTACAAAATT